GGAGCATTCGAGAGAGGTGCCCATTCAATGTATGGTTCTCGGTGAGTCACTTCTCGAATTCGCCAGTCATTGGTGAGACCTCCCTCACTCAAACTCGACAAATACAGATCCCGAAGTTCGATCCAAACACACCATTCGATCAAAGTGCGATCACCCAGGACAGACCGCATCGTAACAGTAATTTTCGCGATCAATTGATGGATCAGATCCCGGGACAAATGCTTAAAAAGGGTTAAATCGTTAACTAATCCCGTCTGAGGGATGCGCCCACGCATTAGACTTCCATTCAGAATCGTAGTGGCGTATTGAACGCGTATGTCGCCTATGCAAAGACTTGCGTTGGCCAGCCGATGTTGAAGCCAGTGCTTTGTCCCCCCAGACGAGTCTGGTACCATTTTCCTATCTCCGGAGGGATGGAAAGCTTGGTCAGCCTAGGTGAATACCGATCCGTGATTCGATTCCCTGACCATGTATGTGATAATGTGCGCCACTTGTCACTACAGCACCTCCGCCCATATCAACACATACATATATTTACAATACCATATTATTATATACAGTACACCGAAACTTCCAGTCTCTTAGGTTCAAGCAATACTGTACATTGATAGGAGAAACACTTTCACTCAATGTTACTTCAGCAATAAAGAAAGCAGTCAAACTGCGAGAAGTCATTAAAGCCTGGGCACTGGATGAGGCTGGAGATATGCAATAGGAACTCGAGCCCTAATTTGTTTTTCTGAGGTGTTCTTCTGTAGATAAGTCATTCAATTCTTCGATATCACACTTTTCCCTGCAATTGTCTTGTTCGCTGCTGTAATGCCTATTATTTATTATGCTTTCGTGATTGAATGTAAGCACCCTGTGCATCGTGAAAATCTTCAGAGCTATCGATTAAAACGGAATCATCAAAAGGTCTTGGGGGTGACAGCTGGACGTAGCATCAGACTTCAGAACACCTGGTTCTCCAAACCTCATTAGATTACCTACATCTACAAGAAAACAGATTCCAGATTTTCACTAACTCGCCCATGGGGTAGATCTTTTGGGTTTAATATGGGAATCGCAGTTGAGATCACTTCGTAACCTTTTTTAAAAATCTCACTCGGACCTGATGACATATTCAGATCACTTATAGGTTCTATTTTTCTCTCCTGTTCAGATCACTTATAGGTTCTATTTTTCTCTCCTGTGTTCCTAGTTCAGCCCTCCATACTACTCATTAGAAAAAGGTCTGACTCGCCCCTACACTGACTTGATATCTATACTAAAATATTGTGGAGGCACCTCAAGGCCCTTACCATCATCTTTCCCATAAAGGCATAGCTCACCCATCATAGAATGGGAAAAAAGTGTCTTTGCTCTAGAGGGTACTATTTTTCACGAGTTCCCTCCTCCGTCGTGCTCTGACGGTAATGATCTACTTCCAATAGGGGTCTGTGTTCACCCACACCCAATTTTCGGTTGATTTCACTATCAATGCCATCCTGGCGTAAAGTAGGTAAGTACCTTTTTGTTGTTCCTATGAATTATTGGCTTTCAAGGGTGTACTGGGGTTTGTAGGAAAAATGAACGTTTTCCGACAGATGTCAGATCGGTAAATGGGGGCTTGTAAATCCCTCTATATTATTGTTGGCTTATAGCCACTTAAGAAACAACCCTGAACTATGGTACCTGTTTGTCCTTTGCCGTTCGGAAATCTATGAGATTTCTGAACGAACGGCCGACTTGAGGCAATTACTTGCCGCTTATAAGCGTTTTTGAGGACATACAACTCTCTAGAATACTAGTTACAGATTGACTGAAAGCCATGGAAATTCTTAGAATTCCACCCTTTCACACTTCTCTAACCCCCACTTCCCTCTATATCTCTAAGGGTAAACATCAGCCGCTAGAAATAAATACATCATCCGAATTTTGGCTAAAAATCCCACGTAGTCATCGAATATAAGGCAAAACAGATCGTTACATGAGCCGAATAGTCTAGCCCTTCATCTCTGTACTCGAACCCATTCCCGGAACGTTTGGACGATATCAAAAGCCACCGCAGAATTGACACGATGGCAAGCAACCACAAAAAACGGGGGTTTTTCAGATTAACGTTGAAGTGCCTCACTTGAGAGATTCTGAGTGCTCTGTCAACTATATGAAGTTCAGAGAAAAAAGCACCGCTTTGACAAAATTCCGTCGTTAATGCGGCATTGGGCAAATATGCCACTAACAGAGTCACCGGAACTTTCATATTCATATCTTACCCCTATAGTGATCCTTTATTCACTATCCAGCTACTTTTTTAGCGAAATCATGAAAATAGACATAGTTAAAAGGTAAAGGTAGTGCGGTGGTAACAGACGCAATATCACAAACATGGTCGGGAGATCAATCCCAGATCGACATTCGCTCAGCCCTACCAAGCATTCCACCCTTCCGAGGTCGGTTAATTGATACCGTCTTTGGTTGATTGGTTGGTTAATTGGTAGATTCATCTGGGAGGATAAAAACGACGACATCTACATCAGCTGGCCACCGCAAATCTTTGCACTGGCCTCATACGCACCCAGTAAGCCACTGCGATTTGGAATGAAGGTCCGATGCAGAGCTCACTCCAAAACGCTATTAATCAAGATCAAAAGATCGTATCCCATGGCTTTTTATCAATACTGGAATCGGACACATAAAAAGAAAACCTCTTTCCACCACCTTACCTCGTTACTGGGAGTGATGTTAACCCAACTGAATTGATGGTTTTTCTATAGTTACCCCACTCTCTCAACTAGACCAGTCCCCATTAATTCGATTGAGCAAGCGCGTGTCCCTTTGAAGTTTGAATTATGGCTGTCAGGTTTCATGTGAGCTAACCAGAGTTCAGTTTCCCTTTCATCATCTGAGGCAATTATGGAACTGATTTATGGATAGTAAAAAAATAGAAGGCAAAATTGGTTTGGTCCAGGTTATGGTCTCATACAAACTACCCNCCCTGGCTCCCGATCGCATGGCTCTAAGGGGACCCCAAGAACTACGCAGGTACTATGCCTTAACCCAGCTTCTGAAACTCGGTGTACTTCTGGTATAATCTCGGCTGGCTTTCTCACTTTCGACTCTTCTCTTCAATCTGATAGTACCACGTAGAAACCGGCTTGAAATGGTTTGGATATGATAGCCGCGGAGTATTTCTCTCGTTGAATAAGATAGTCCATCGGTAGGAATAGACTTTGCCAACGCTGTATGTAGATCGAAGCTGAGTAAAATGGATGTTTGGAACCTTGGGACCTTTTCGACAGATCGCAAATCAGTAAGTAAATGAGAGCGCAGCTTTAATCATCGCAAAAAGATAGAACTTGAGTCATGTGAAGAGAGTATCTCGAGAAAATTTGAAAAAAATCGAAACATTTCCAGGAAATCAACTCAAAAAAAAGTAACAATGTGCGGATCTACAGTAATTAGCAGAACTTATTCTTTTTGGCGAAAAACGCTAGTGAGACAAGAAATATGGTCACGGCTGTAGGCAAAGTCAAGATAAACAAATAAATAAAGTATGGAGCAGATGACGTTCAATTACACGACCATGCGGCCGCTGCCCAGGGCGGGAAGAGAAAGAAAGTGACCTGTCGCTGATTAGCACCATAGCTACGTGGGTGGAGGTTATTCGGGTGTTCATTGTTTTTAAACTCTCTATGGTTGTTGTAATCAAGTACTCTGCAAAAGAAGTACCGAACATGTTTTTGGTCGAGTTACAGCTAACATGTGGTTGTTAGCACTACAAGCTACGGTGGTTGATCGGTTGTCGGATCAAGGACAAGACGTCATGGTGCTCAGGTTCAGGATACTCTGTTTGTTCTTTTCCAAACTTGAGTACTCCATTTAGGTGTAAACCAAAAATGGTCTCATATAGAAACCACCTCTGGCTCAGAATCATACGATTTTTGAAGAAAAAAAGTGTAGTAAGGACCAACTGATAGGAGCAATGGATCCCAATTTACATTGCCCTTCCAGCCCCTTAGTGATGGCCTCCAACGTCCAATTCTTCAGCTAAGTAATGAGTTCACGAGATCATTCACATTCAGGAAACACTGACATTTGCAGACCATAGTAGCTCTCAGATTTGTGGACACAACTTAGACACATGGCGCATCCCTTTCCAAGAGGGAGGGAGTAGCACATCACTCTGCGGTTTTTCAAGAATCATCGTCACCGCCCTGTTTGGGCATCGTAACCCATCTGAACCAACTATCCCATTCCTGTTCCTCTCATAACTGGAAAACTCTGACTCATTTATCGGCTGTCTTCGGACTATGGACTGAAGCACATATTTCAAATGCCTTTACGACCTCTGCTCGGAAATAGAGTGCATTGCGCATCACGAACGTGCCCTTGATGGTTTACCATCAGCTTCCGCTATACTTGCAGCTTTGTGAATAACATGAACCAGTCCAGTCTCTTAACTAGAGTCACACGATAGCAAGAGCAAATCAATGAAAAATAGAAAACCACCCTTTTGAAATGGCAAACCAGACTAAATGCTTCATGTTCTGACGTTCCACCTTCCCTAAACTTTTCAGTACCTAAACTCTGAACCAAAACATTCTCCACAGACAATACGACAGTCCCAATGAAACACAAAACTTTACATTTTTTTTATTAAATTTATCAAACGTAACACAACATGCAACAACTAAAACTATTCTTAAGACAAGTTCAATAGAACAGCTTGGGACGGTACAATACAACAGAGAGAATAGGAGAATTAGATAATATTGGACAGCTCCCCATAAGCTACCGATTCAGACTCCGTATTTCACTGCTCGTTCTGTTACATGCAATATGAACGTTTAGCTTTACTATAGCTTATTGTTGTTGTACTGGACAACGATTTTCAGTGATCATTTAGTTTAGTGAAAAGCAGTAGATAACAAAGCTGGAATAGCACACTTAAAAGCTTTAACAAACTATGCACTGCGATGTGAATGATGACTGTAACTGAATTGTAATTTATTAACAGTTTACAGTTCGATCTTAATCATATGATAGTCTTCCCGTCCATCTTCTGTGTTTATGGAAATGGAATTATGCTCAAGTGATGAGTTTATCACCAAACCATGTTCCTCCAATTCTGGGGCATGTGCAGTGACAAACGCCATTAGAGCGCTATGATGCCGTGTTGGAATCAAACGGCATTTCAAGTCTAAAAACCTCAAAGTAAACAAATCGTACCGAATGAAATCTTCTAAAACCTGAAATTTTAAAACCATACCGTCACGGAACCATTGTTTCTTCCCAGCAAGCCATCCATCCAAAACGGCGGGAGAAACGTCTTCGCTGTGGAGAATGTAATTAGCTGATCTGAAAACTAAGCGCATTACATTGCCATTTCTACAACCTACTGTCGATAAAGACGATAGATAAATGAAGGCAAATAAAGAACAGATTACTTCCATGGAAATCTTCGATGGACGTGAAACTGACCTAATATTTGTGAAGTACTCAATAGCACTTTGCTCATCGGTGATNATTTCAAGTCTAAAAACCTCAAAGTAAACAAATCGTACCGAATGAAAACCTTCTAAAACCTGAAATTTTAAAACCATACCGTCACGGAACCATTGTTTCTTCCCAGCAAGCCATCCATCCAAAACGGCGGGAGAAACGTCTTCGCTGTGGAGAATGTAATTAGCTGATCTGAAAACTAAGCACATTGCATTGCCATTTCTACAACCTACTTTCGATAAAGACAATAGATAAATGAAGGCAAATAAAGAACAGATTACTTCCATGGAAATCTTCGATGGACGTGAAACTGACCTAATATTTGTGAAGTACTCAATAGCACTCTGCTCATCGGTGATGGTACATTTGCCGTTCAGGTGAGGCACGGTAACAAGTTCGAAGAAGAGTGGCCGCGACAAGTGAGGCACCGAGGCTGCTAGAATACAAAATATCAAAAACAATCGGAACAAAAATAGGTAGGAATGGTTAATGACCCAAAGTTAGCTGGAAGGAAAATCTGGCGTTGATTACGCACTCCCAGCACATTGCTTTCACTCGATTGAATCAACCAAAACCCAAATAATCCACAATTTCCACAATTTACTGCATGTGATTTAGGTTTCTACCCACTACGAACAAAAAACGTATCTAGAAACTTATGCACAACAAAATCACTGGAACCGCACCAAACTTGTAACACAACCCTTTCAAGCAGGTGACTGTAAGAGTCCGTATCGTATAATGAACGTTAGAGACGTTGCACCTTCTCATGAAGTTTATGCGAGCTTTGACGCCTACCCAAGTTAGACAAGTGAGAAAAGAAATAAACTCACGGCAAATAACAAGAATGATTGATAGGCGCTCACACGCTCAAAGTCAAGTTTCATTACTATGACAATTGATTCGATCTGCATTCATTCAACTCTTGCTAATATTTGATTTTTCTGTTTGAGAAGCTTATGTGAAACTGGGTGAGGAGATTGACTACTGCTCCAAACGACGGGAAATATTTCTGATCCAAGTGGATACGGACTCTCACAGTCACCTGCCGTCCATAGGGTAATGTTGAACAAATGAACAGTACTTGCCCACTTGCACAAGCTGTTTTTCAAACTATGACTACTGAACTTTTCACCTTTATTAAATCTCACCTCGATTTCCTCGCGCTGCTGTAAGTGGTGGAAGGTGCAGCCGTAAATCGTGATCAGCTGAAGCCAAACGGAAACCGTCCTCGTCCACCTTAACAACTTGCTCATGGAATACTTGTTCATTCACTAAGAAAAGAAAGGAAGAAAGTTCGACGGAGTCTCAGCAGAAAAAGAAAATCTAATTTAAATAAACCCTAAACGAAAACATCTTCAAATAACTAAACAAATATTACCTCATGCTCAGGTTTCTTCCCATTCTCCTTGTTTTCTAATCCCGATCCACCATTGCTCAATGCATGATCGACACGATCTGAGTCTGAGGCTACCGTTTCCAGCACTGAGTCAATCACAGGGTCTGTCTAAAAAACCAGAAGTGAATTTCCACGTTTGTTCTTCTCGAAACCTGGATATTTTACATAATATTCTATACCTATACGGCACAGCAGTATGGAACATCATGTAATCAAAACAGAATATTTTCATGATGAGGATTGTACTTAATACATGAAACATCCCATCCGTCTCCATCAATTGATAACGAAGGAAATCTTGAATAATTCAAACATAACGACTTACTTTTTCATATTTCACAGAATGGTTGTCGTCGTCATTCTCAACGAGACTCGAGCGCGTTTGCATGGCTTTCATCTGAAGATGAATCAGTTGCATTTGAAACTAAACCACAATCTCGACTAAAGCGGTGCCTCAATCAAAAACTTTGGTAATTATATGAAACGTGCAAGTTTTCTCCTAGTCTAGCAAGGTGCCATAAATTGTATTCTACTACAGGAAATTACAAGAAAAAAAACTATTTTTCGAATTCCACATTGGTAAATGCAGCATACCCTCAACTAAATGCAGTTGCCTGGCTTTCACTGATAAAGAAAACTGACCTTCTCCTGCGCCAGCTCCGCAGCATCTTTTACTCCTTCTGTGACAGTTTCCGTAATTGAAGATGCAAGATCGGCTATACCTTCGTAAGCAGATTCGCCTACCTGGAATTATCAACAATAAAATTTTGTTCAACCACTAAAAAACATTCGAACAAACACTTTACTCGAATTGCAATTGTAGAAAGTAAACGTGCTACTACATGAGTAATAAAGTATGAGGATAGCCGAAGTAAGCTCACCTTTTGCGCAGCTCCTACAGCATCGGTTAAAGCTGATGCAAGCGCTGAAGCTAGAGGAGTGGAGGCTTCTTCAATCATTTGTCGACTAAGTTTCCGCGCTAGCTCTGCAGGATTAGACGAATCGTTCTTGCTTGAGTCTTCCTTATCATCTGAATCCTTCTTGCTCAGCTCATCATCATGTACATCAGTCTTGCTCGGTTCATCCTCGTGTGGAAGGTTCTTGTTTGTGTCATCGTTCTTAAAGGAAAACTTCACTTCGACTATACTACCTTACATTTTGGTGCAGAGAATAATGTGCATAGTGAATACTGCTGCTAAACTGACAAAAAGAAAACATCACTGTCACACACAATTCCAAACAAATTAAATATCGCTCTCTCATCATAAATCAGGCTATACTCTTCGTTTTATCATTGAGCATCAAAAAGATCTGACTGCCTTGCAATGTGCTTGAAATGTTAACAGATCACCGTACATCTGAGTTGTTATTACTTAGAGAAAGTTCGTCCAAGCACTGTGCAAGTTGGTCAGCCACGGCCGTAGCTCCTCTCTAAATCAGCACAGAGACATGCAGAAGCATTTGCATATGCAGATGTGAATATTCTGGAAAAGCTGCAAGATTTCGTTCACCTCCAAAGCCCTTTTTAGATCGTCGGTATCCATACTGATTTTCATGAGTCTTGGGGGCTCCTCCAAATCGTCCAACAAACCGTTTTCTCCAACTTCTTGTGGCTTGTGAGGACTCTGGAAATAGAAATTAGATTTGCGAGAATTTAATAGTCTCTAAATAAATCATATTTCAGGCAGCTCATATAGGAACAGAAGATCCCGAAATCAATAAGAGTGCAACTCGAGATAGTTCACAAAAAAGGCCAACAAATCTCCTGAGCTCCTGTTCAGATTGGTCGAGATACTTGGAAGGGATTGAATGGTATTGTTCTAGGCTATCTCCACCAACATGAAAGGGACGCCTCAAGTCACTCCCAAGCAGATATCTTTTCTCGTCTCGAAAAGGAACAGCCCTATGCCTTCCCACTTCAAATAGAGAAAAGCATTATAGAGAATCGAAATAAAAACCTTAAACTCTTCGGGCACTTCGATCAGATCTGAAGGAGATGCTTGACCTTCACGATTCAATGACGGTGGCACGAAGGGTTCTGCTGGAGCAACGTCTCCATAGAATGGCGGATGAGGAAGTGAATCATCTTGCGCATGTGGTGACTTTGGAGGAGATGCTGGACCTGGCGGATGAGGAAGCGAGTCATCTTGCGAATGTGGTGACTTTGGAGGAGATGCTGGACCAATGCTGTCGTCATCACTTTTGGGTATATCAACATGTTGAGGAATTGTTTCTGGCTCACCGATAGGCGGATTATGTGGGTCATGAGTACCGCTGGGAATCGGATCTGGCATGGGGATTAGAGGTGGCGCACTAGGTTCAACAGGTTCAGATTTGCCGCCATCCGCGCTTGGCTCCGGATGTTCCTTCTTATCGACTGGAGCATTTGGCTCTGTTGGCTCTGTAGGTTCAACATGGTCCTCAGGTGCACTCGGCTCCGGATGTTCAAATGTGTCACCATCAACAGGAAGTTCTGCAGGAGATTTATCGTCACCAAAAGGTAATTCAGAAGGTTCCGGCTTGTTAACGGAAGCATCTGGACTCGTGGGTTCGCCTTTGTCTGAAGGTGCGTTTAGCTCCGAAGGCTCAGGTTTGTCGACTGGAGCACTTGGTCCTGTAGGTTCAGTTGCTCCAGATTCCACCGGACCAGATGCGTCGGGTAGTCCGCTCGGCATTTCAGGAATAAAGTTGTCCAATTGTGAGCTTGGTGCTGTGGGTTCGGATGAATCTTTGTGTTCAGTGCCAGGTTCAGGAGATTCCTTACGATCAGTGAGAGAATCATGCTCTTCGTGAGCCGCGGACGGAGGAGGCTCATTCTTTTCATGTCCGTCATGAGATTCTGGTTCAGAGTGAGGAACTGTATCGGCTGCAACTGGAGAAGGAAGATCACCAATGGCTGGTTTGTCATCGTCACTTGGCAACACGTGCTACAACACAACACATTACTTCCATAAAGAACAATCCATGAGTGGAAAGGAAAGGTTCTTAACAAAAGCATGCGCACACCGTTTAGAAAGACAGCAATACAGCAAAGCGGCAAGAAGCCGCCTGTACTGTTTCATTCGAGTTATACTTGGATTGCTTCGGATACCTGCTCATTAGGCGGTTTATCGTCATCACACTTTGGCACAACAGCGGGAGATAGAGGACCATCAACGGATGAACGTCCTGATTGCGACCTTGGTTCAGGCGTTGGTGGAATTACAACGAGTTCCACTGCAGGGCGGAGTGTAGAAGAAGCTGGATCTTGAGGGGCGTCAACGCATATATCTGGCACTACGTCGTCAAGACATACCACGGAATCGTCCAACTAAAATACACGCGACAACATTCAACCAAGCCATGACAAAAGCAAATAGCCCTTAAAAATAAAACAAAAGCAATCGTCCGATCTGGAACGTAGCTAAAGACAAACAAAAGCAAGACACACGGATGCATTCAGGTTTGTATGCACAATATACACTATACAAGGACAAAATAAGATCGCTAAATTAGTAACTGAAATTCACGGCTATTATGGGAGGGCTATTCTCTACTTTTCTATCTCGGATGGAAAGGTTATCAGCAGATAGGCATTCACAAGCATAATTTTAATGTGATGAGATCCTACCGGAGGCGTTGGTTCAACTGGAGTAGGCGCTGGCTCTTTCACCTCCTCTGGTGCTGGCACGGGCACAGGAGCTGGAGGAGCAGAGCCGTTACTTTTTGAATGGACACCTTTGGACGATACCGTACCAGATGTCTTACCAACAACGGCTCCTGCCGCTTTCCCGATGGCGGCAGATGCGCGAGACATTGCTGCCCCTTTGACAGGATTTCTAAATGGAAACTGTAATTAGGAAAGAATTCTGAGAAAAAAGAATTTGACGCACACTGTGGTCTTCTGTATGGGTGCTTCGTGTGCTGCCGTCTTCTTGTTGTTCGAAGATGATCCAGTTTTGTTCGCAGGAGCGGTATGTTTCACCGTTGTAGATGAGACTACCGTTCGTGCACGATTAGATGGAGGAACTGTTGGGGCTGGGCGAGCCGGAGATGGCTTGACTGGTGCTGCGATAAGAAAACTTATTAGATATGAGCATAGATTCAACAAAATCAAATAGGGTTGAATGATTCCGAAGAGCACTCGATGGTTTTTTTTTTCATAACAACAACAAAGAAATTGTGAGACTAACAAAGCATTAGGAATCGAGTAAACATCGAAAGTCAAATAGCATAATTTCTTTCTTTTATCTTTCCAGAACCTTTTTAAATAGATTTGCATTGTGGAAAACATACAAGTCTTATTCACAGTGGTTGTTGTAGTTCGCGATGGGGGACCATGTGCAGTTGTTGTAACAGGCCGTCTTGTTGGTGTAGGCTGAGAAAAATGATTGCATGAAAACATTTTGTGAAAACCTGAAGAAGAATTTCGACTGATTCAAAAATACCTTGGTTGCTGTGGAATTAGTTTTAACTGTTGCTGACTGCACTCGAGGCGGAACTGTTACTCTGGAGTTGGTAATTCTTGCCGGTGGAGGCACTTCTTTGAAGGCATTAGCTGTCGATACAACAGGACTGTGTAGGAATGGAAGGGATCTTGCTTTCTCCAGAGCAAATATGATTCGACTCAAAGGCGCAGTACCTAAAAGTGTTCTTAAACTATGTAAAACGCATTATAAGAGAAGAACACATTTGCTTTTTCCCTTCGGTCAAACACGACTTATGAAAATGCTGAACCGCAGTTATCATAAGAAGTAAAACAGAGTAGAGCTCACATAGAGTTGACCTGCTACTGATTAGCAATACATTTTAGAGTAATAATAATATCTCGATTCCATTTGCAAAAAATTACTCTACTTTTCAATTCATATAGCTACCCTCAATGAAAAAATCCAAATTGCACAGTATACTTCTTTTCCGCACGATATACTCGACACAAAGATACGAAGTTGTAAAAAAAAAATTTCGGTAATCACCTGTGTGCAAAATTCGTTTGATTGGATCAGACTGCCTTGCAGGGAACCAAACCAAAACGGAGATGGTTCCATGATTGGAAGCGGCCTGAATCAGCAGGTTACTTCAGATGACCAAAAACATAAATGTCAATAATGAACCTTTTCGATGATGTGTTCATCTCCAGTCTCGACAGCTTTGTGGAGTGCTTCTACTTCCTTGAGATCACCAGCGAGTACAATTAGTTCCAAGCGACCACTACGGAGAGACTAAAAAGAAATCAACTATGTGTTGAACAAAAACTTTCACTTTGCCCCAAAAGATGAGTTTAACTGAGGCTTACTTTGCTGATCACAATGGGCTCGTATTTCGGGTTGAAGCGTGTTGGTGTGATGACTGGTCGCGTTTCAGATGCATGCTCAATAGACTTCAAGAGCCCAGCAACTGATCCATCAGAGCCCGCCGATTTCACTGTAGGGATATTCCCAACTAGAGGAACGACGGTTTCCTGAATGATATAAAATGATAGCAAAACTGATCCTTAAAAGGTGATCATCGTGTATAAATGTATGGAAACGTGAATGTTCGAAAAAACACTCCACAAGGAAATCTATACGTCAATATGTGGCTTGATGACAAACCTTATTTAGTTCCACAGCATTAGTAAGAGCTGCTTTGGTTGGAGCACTTATCACATTGGCATCAATCTGAAAAATTCGAACTGTATTGACGCAAGTTAACATTTAGAACAGCGCTCAATGCCGAGTTGTATTGGAATAGTTCACCTACTACTGCAGTCCTTCGAAATAAAAAACAAAACGAAGTTCGTTAACAGACTTGAAATAGTCTGAGGGGGAGCATGAAACTGGGGGAAAGAAAAATGTTTACATGAAGGTCGATGTCTTCAGTATGGAGGCTGCTGGTTTTTATTTCAAATGCTTTTAAAATTGCAAATAAAGCTCTTCCGCGAAAAACGCACTCGTTTTTTAATACAATGTACGCCCCACAAATTAGTTTACTCGCTCTTCTCACATTTTTTACTTTTCCTACTGACATTGCCAAAGCAGTAACATTCTAATCGCTCCCAATCCTTGACATATGTAGCCGAATTGGGAGGAGAAAAAAGGCATGGGATTAATTCAAATGAATTCAATTAGCGAATACCAACCTGCCGCACATGCTTGGTGAACAGAACTTTTTCAGATCCTCCATCGAGTAAGACAAATGTTCCCAACAAATCCAGAAGTACTGCGTCAGCATCTACAACAAATATGATATGCCACGTTTCCAAGTTTTTTCAGGAAATGGGTTCGTTCACTGAGAGGATCTTCGATATATAGGACATTTTCAAAATGTGAACTGGTTGCTTGAAAAACCACACTGAAGCCTCGTCATCATGAGGGATACTAACTATGTAGGAAATGAGCGGTATAAACACCAGCATATAAGCGCAGTGCGGTGCGGTTGCGCTTGTGTTTACCTTCAGACTTGGCTATTCAATTTTAATTCTTGCACTACTTTTGCTACCCTCACTTTTCCTTCCCCAGGATTTTTCACCTATCCTAAGAACGCTGGGAATGAACTAAAGATGCCATCTACTGATGACACATGAATGTACGTAGATTATAGAAAGAGACAATGGTGTACCATCGCAAAACTATTAATGAANGCGCTTGTGTTTACCTTCAGACTTGGCTATTCAATTTTAATTCTTGCACTACTTTTGCTACCCTCACTTTTCCTTCCCCAGGATTTTTCACCTAAGAATGCTGGGAATGAACTAAAGATGCCATCTACTGATGACTCATGAATGTACGTAGATTATAGAAAGAGACAATGGTGTACCATCGCAAAACTATTAATGAAATCCTACCTAAAAACGAGTGCCCACCCTAAGTTGAAAACGAGATTCTTAAAAGAAAAACAAAAGAACCACATAGATTGAACTCGGAAAGGGAGGAAGACTCCAACATGGAACAACCATGCTAGCAGCAAATGAGGAAGGAATGTCAGCAACAACAACGAGAACATTGGCCATAAGCCGCCACAAATATCATCCTCAACTGGGATAAAACACCACAGCTATGAGTAGGAATGGATAAGGCTTGGACGAGGTGAGAAGTTTGGCATGAAAGAACTCGACGACTGCGTGAAGTGCCGCTTCGCAGGATTATAGAAGGATTGAAAATTACGCATTGTGTCCTGGTCTCTAACAGCTGCAAACGTGGGAAAACTGACACTTCCCTCACAAAAGAAAGAGCTTACACAGAACGATGTAAATTTGTAAATAACGGTCCCTTCGAGAACAGTTTGACAAAACCTTCAAGTTCGAATTTGCCCAGTGACGAAACAAAAGTAAAGTTGAACCTATCGCTAATACCGCTGCTACACATCTGTTACAAGCTCGAAAACGACCGCTGCGAGTTTGCCGGACAACAAAGGGACATTTGGCGCTACCAGTACATAAATGATGTGATTCGAAACCAAAACAAAAGAAACCACCAAAAACAAATACGGGATAGGAGATTTTTGGAAAGAGTTTCCTCTTCCATCCCTTGCAATAGGCAAGGATTTACCCAAAAGCACAAGTACGAGTTCGAGTGTTCTGCCCACAACTGCCATACTTGTGTCATAATTTCGCATCGCGTTTCGCAAGAAATAACAGTAATTAACAAGATCATGAAGTCGAAACAAGACTTTACTCGATTTTCCCCGTCAACGTAACTTCTGCTGCTGTAAACTCAACAAACTTTTCGTGTTTTATCATGACTAACGGAAAGCCTCAAAAGCCATCCTGTAAATCCACTTAAAGGTTCAGTCACCAGGATGAGCTACTCGTAAGTTCCAAGCCTTACTTCCCCGTTTCTGGGATTCGCGTGGGATTATATTCGCAGCCGTAAGCCTATCGACACCTCCCACACATCAGCATCAGCAAAAAGTTAGTTATCATTTAAAGTGTCTTCAATCAAACTAATGGCCCAAGCCTTTAGTCGAACTCAGCTCAATTAATTACACCTAAATCGACTTACTCCATCCATTTGATGAGCAATTGTTGCAGTGCTGGAAGTTTAAAGAAGGTTTTCGTATTCACGGACTACTCATTGTCTTTTTTTTGCATTGTCCTGTTGTAAATGATTTTGGAATGAGCCTAACGTAGAAGAGACTTCCTCTTCCAGAGACTGACCCACTTGGATGCGGTATCTGGTGAAGTGACGCTATTTTTCCGATTAAAAGCTTGGTCGGGATGAAGGTCTATTGATTTCAAGCATTCGTGCAAGACAAAAAGGAAGCGCTGCTTTGGAAGCTCTTACGCCGTTTTTCGCACGTCTAAGCTGAGGCTGATCTCATACAGATACTCTCTTTGTACACACGTAGGACATGGCCGCACTACCTAAGAGGACCTCCGCACATTTCAACAGCAAAAGCGGCTGTTCAGAGTAGAAGATACAAAAGAAATAATCAATAATCTAGCCAAACTTCTGAAATAAACGTCTATTTCAAAAACCCTTGAAGAATTTTTGTGTCAAAATATTTATAAGAAGAAGGCAAGATATTAAATTCAAGGAATAAAAGCTTTTCTAAAAAGGCGCTACCTAAACTTATTTCCGCCAAAATGTTTATGACCGTGCCTTTTCAAGATTGATGCCTACGCTGCAATGGCTGCACTTGAACGGATACCTCGTAAATTTATGTCCTTCAAAGATTTATCACCACCTTACTAGTAGTCATTAAGATACCAAGGAAGCCCTTTTAGCTGACAAATGGGATGCATTCGATTTATCTTGTCTTCTATCTCTCGCCCAATGATTGATTTGGTAGTTTCGCTAGACGGCGTTCGATTCCAAAATATCACTGCTCCTGTTTTACAGTTAAACTTGCCTTTTAACAATTGTAGGTATGTTTTAATTCGACGCATTTTTCGAAAACGTTCCTGCCGTCCTGAAGGCTTGATGAGGCATATGAGCACCAAGGTTCACCGATAAGTACTAGTACTATGCTTAATCTATTTGCACACATCTGTCACAGTTGGGCGACCATGAGTAATCCGACACTTCCGGGTTGTAGTCCATTCAATGCCCAATATCTCCAACTGTGTTAGCAGTTCGTACCCTCGTTCTAGATGGGAGATCAGCTAAGCAAGCAAGTACCCTAGCCTCTACTAACCAGTTGAATTACTATGAAGTAAGATCATTTCAATCTATTCAGTCACCCATTTTCACGGTTAACCTACTTCTGACGTTGAAACCGGCTGCTGTGCTAGTGGAATAAAAGTGCAATATTTCCAACTTCTTGTATTCCCTTTGTCTTTTATGAGTAACGAATAGACGTGCGAAACAATGAATTGGAAGAATAAAAAAGGGGGGCCAGATGTGATGGAAAGTACAATCGGAAGCTAGACATTGTTGTTGAGCTAGTCTCTTGATACGGACCAGCACACAAAATAAGAAAATGAATGTTTTACAGAAGAAAAACGAGAAACAGCCTGAAACACTCACCGGAACTTATTAGAAATGCCGACGGCACGTCCGACGATGGCACGTAGGCCATTGTTCCTGGAAGAAAAATGCTTGAACATCAAAATTGATGGAACGTTGACAAAAGGTATGAGACAAGTGTAAACAAACAAGTAATGTAAATGGTTATAGAAATTCTAAGTACTAGGAAAGCTCTATTGTCCACATAGCTCTTGTGAAAGAAGAAACAGAAAATGAAAGATGAAGAAGAATAAGAAAAAAAGACACTCGGAAAAGTAGTGAGTAACATCACAGCATTTGTTGTGCAGCTCCATTCCTCTTTCTGGTGATAACCCGATAATTCGATGATGCGATTATGGCGGGAATGGAGATCATCAGTGGGAGTGTCATTATCAATTGCCCTGAATGACTAGAAGAGGATCCTACCGAACTGGATTCACATACGGCTTAGAACGCCTGCTGTGAATCCAGTTCAGCACTACAGTCCTTTAGGCCAACAGCGATAATATCCTAGTTAAACAAGTGGTTCACTTCGAAAATAGGCCTTGTGCGGAGAGATGAGTTCAAACAGGAGCGGGAACTCGATTGCGGATTGGCATCCTTACAGTATTCCTACTACTCATTACTAGGCGTAAAATAACTCAGCAGTTGTGTGGTAGCATGAAGCATAACGAGGATTACGGTAGGGACCTCATTCCGGACGAGTTTTCGTTTTTGTGATCTTCATTACATAATGCAGGCGGTTGCGTGGCGTATTTGCCCGCACGCTAACATACCGAAGAAGTTCGTCTTGNAGAGTTTTTATGTATATGTCTTCTTGGTGTCTTTATCAGTATGTCGGTTTATGGAACAACCTATCCACCATCAAAAGGTTTCACAAATATGGTAAAGGCTGTGGTATGGAAAACTTTCCCCTGTTCATGGTGGTAATAATTGTGGGGAAGCTCATAAGGTAGGTTGGTTCCATTAGTAATAGCTCCTATACAGCATTGATCACAACACATGTGGCTACTTCACCTCGGTAATTTCAATCAATCGATAGTGATCAATACCGACTTACAACATGATTGATAATATGATCATAACTTAACTCCATTCTACAGTAGAGCAAAAAGAATTTGATAGGGAATACAAGTGATCTGTAATGTTTACTAGTAGCGATCACATCAGCGCAAATAATCAATCGATAAAAAAAGGTGAAAGATAAAGCTTGATACTAATCAATCCACTTTTTTGGCACGCACCCCGCATTCGACCTTCACACAGAATCGTAATGACAATTTGAATGCGTATGTGGCCTATACACTGGACTACAGTAGCCAAGCGGTGTTCAAGTCAGTGTTTTTATCCTTTCAGACGAGTCTGATATCAAATGACTCATCCCGAAAAGGTAAAAGACT